ACAACATGACACAGGTCGGGTACAAAGGAAGAAATACCAGGGTGACCAGACAATGTCCCCTCGCTCCACCGGACGCTTAGAGACTCAAATCCACAAGCCACAAGGCTGACTGTATTTACAGACACACACGTGGACACGTGCACTTCACGTTCTTTTAAACTCAGAAAAGAGAAGGGAGGACATTTCTGCAACACAGAGCCACAGGGGTAGGGGAAATCTGAGCTGTGCGCTGGTTTAGTTTGTGCAGAGATGGGAAGGCTCTGTTTGCTCTGGTCTCACCCTACTTCCATCCACAGATGCCCTGTTATCTGGACAACTAGCGAGCATTTTGTCCTTTTATCTGCAAATCCTAGACACTTCCCGAACCCCGAGGGCCTTACAAAGTCAACAAGGAATTCCTCAGGGAGAAACACGATTTTGATAGAGACCCTGACTTTTTGGCAAATGTGCCGTAAGAGGTGCGAGCTTGTCGGTCGTCACTTTTTGTAACGAAAGTTGTAAATGCTCCCTGAAAATATCGATGCCACGTCCCAGGGCAGTATCAGTCATGGGACCTGGGCGTTGATTTACGGGAGAAGCCGTTTAGCACATTCTCGAAACCTGGTTGGATCAACGCCAAAATGATTTCCCAGGTCACCCAGAGCTCAGGCAGGGCCCCCACCCCGGGGTGCTTGGCAAACACAGCAACAGCCCGCAGGAGCAGGGCTGGATGGGTGTGTTCAATCCTGCGGGTTCGGGACCACCGTTCGGGTTGTCAAACTTCCCTAATCCCCTATGTCTGCGATGGGATCCAGCAAATTTCCCAGGGGCTTCCCTCGGACAGGCCCTGCCAAGGCCGGACGTCCTTAAACTCCAGCCAGACATCCTTCCTCTCCAGCGCTCTGCTCCAGCTTCTACATTCACATCCCGAGCTCCAGAGAGACTCTTCACTGGTGTGAAAAAACATCCCAAACATCAACGACGCGTAGAACCCAAGGCTTCACGCAGCCAGAATGGATGCGTCCAGGAAGGAACATCCTGCGAGGACAGTCAGGGAGAAACGACGGCCTCCCGGCCGTTTCCAACTCGGCAGCGCAGGCCCGGGAAGGACTCGCAGCAGGCGCGCCAGCCAGGGGGCCGCACCCCCGCCCTCGGAGGCAGCCGGGGGACTCGCCTGCCCGGCCAGGGCGCCTGAGAGGCCTTGGTGACCCCGGCCCCGAGCGGGCTCTCGCAGGCGCACCTTGGTCGGCAGGAAGGCAAGCCGTGCCCTGGACGGTGGCGCTCTCGACACGAAGATGAATGGGCGGCGACGCTGAGCCGTGGAGCCCCGAGGTCCGAGCTCTTTCTCATTACCCCCCCACTTTTCCATCAAGGTGCTTCCCTGGGGCTCGCACTCAAGTCCACAGAACAGGCTGCCCTTCGCCCGGCCGGCCGGGGATCCAGCCGAGTGTCACGAAACCGGGAGACACTCATCTGTATCCCCAGGGAAGTCAGGCACCCAGGGCTGTTTCAAGGGCTGCGGAGAAATTCCTCAGAGAAACAAACGCGGAGCCCACGCGGCGGTCTCGCTTCCCGCGTCTAGCCTCGTCGCAGCGAAGCCGGCCACCCTGCTTGGAGGGTCTTCAGTATCTGTCATCTAGGCCGCGTGGGAAGTTTTATTTAATCTAACGGCAGCATTTGGAGAGATGGCGGCGAGCCACGAGAGCTGGGCTTTCTGGCAAGTCTTCGTCTCCCCACACGGCTGGTCCCACCCAGCGGCTCCGGTCCTGAAACCGGCTTTTCCTTAGAAGCCCGGCTGAGTCCTGCAGCCTCGGTTTGCTGAGAGTTCTTGGTGAAAGCTTCAGAGTCGCACACTCTTTAGGACCCTAAGCGACCATTTATAAGACAGCGCCGTCCATCCGACTCCCCACCGGGGAAAGGACCCTCCTCCAGGCACGTCCAGCCAGTTCCCAATGTCCCTAAATGCACCACCTCCAAGGAGGCGACCGCGCTGTGTGCGGAAGGGGACGGGCCTGTGACCTGAACTTCCTGGGCACCCTCCAAATTCTGGAAAGGGGGGCAGCCCAGGTCCACCAAGGACAGCTGGGAACACAGTCGGTTAGAGAGACAGTGCCGTGGACCTGTAGGCTCTCTGAGCCCCCCCCCCCC